GGGGAGAGTCATTCCACTGTGTTTTTCTGTAGTGGTTTCTGTCACGCACACACAGAAGCTGCAATGCCTTAAGATGCAGTGATATATGTACCACAGAAGCTCACACAGAGAAGGCTAACACAGCAGGGTTAACACTGTGAGTTGGGTAAGCTGCCCTCTTACTTCAGCCATAGGATAATAGAATCACTGAACAGTTGAATGAGAAGGCCATCAAGACCAACCTGCTGCTGGTGTGGGATGCCAGTTACAGCATCCATGAACTACTGAGTTCAGAAACAATCTTATCTCAGTTTAATAAGCCAGGATATGCATGTTCTCTATATGCAACCCTTTCTCTCTCCAGTTCAGGGTGAATATCTATGATAAATTTACTATCTTTTCCATTTTGTCCAAACTGATAGACTATGGTTACCAGGTTCAAATACAGCACAATTTCAAATAAATAAAATTCTGGATTAAGATCAAGGCTTGTTCCAAAGATGCCAGTCAGAGTTTTCCAATTCAGTCAAAAAATTGGTAACTTCTCCATTTCACTGCATACAGCAGCATTAATAAGATATGCAAAACATCTGTGTGGTGTTGTCCAAAACAGACTAAGATAGATGGTAAAAGCATCATTTGCTCTCCATGCAGCAGCACATCTTTCAGACGAGTTTCCCAGAAGCCTCCATCAAGGTGAGGCTCTGCAGACACAGATGCTGCAATGGATTGTTCACTGCTCTTCCTTGGGTGACAGCAGGTAAGCCAGTTCAGGGCAGGCTGGAAAAAAGAGCAAGAGCTTTGAACCTTAAGAGAGGAACCATCTGCCAAAGTGTGAGCTCTCTGGCTTTCAGCATCCCCCTCAGCTATTTTGTTTACCTTTATGTTCTGGAGCTATAGGTAAAATACTGAAATATGACTTGACCCATTAGAGTGATTCTTTATATACCCTTTCCTTTATATCTATTCTCCTGTCATCTCAGACAACATGCATATGTTCTTTTGCTTTTTTAGTGTAAGCTATAAGTAACCATTTAAAGCACAAATAGAGGATCAGCACTAATAAAGACACGGGATCCTCCAGACCTTGTTGGACTATAAATCAAATCAAATCATTCCTGACTATTAATCATACTGGTTCAGATAGATGGGAGTTGTAGTCCAAAACATCTGAAGAGGAATCAGATTGCCTCCCCGTTACAGCCCTAAAGTAAGAATCTCACTAGCGATGAATATTCCAAAAATCTGGTTCTGTGATTAACAGATCTGAAAATACCAGGGATGGAGATGCAGTGAACGATTGTCCCTGTTCCACCACACACGCACCCATGATTTATTTAAAATGTTCATCTTAGGGAAAACTGGTGGTAGTACAATTGTGTCTTATCAGTCTCATGCTAGCCATTGTTTCTGGAGGAGGAAGATGCAAAATTAAGCAAAGGCATCAGCTGCTAAAACAAAGCAGTTTAACTTTTGAAAAAAACTGCTGGTGACTTGCTGATGTTAGACCAAGAACTCCGTGTGGCATTAGTGTGTGCACTGTAGCTACCAAAAAGACACATGAAATAGTTCCAGAGGTAAATTATTCAGCACACTGGTAAATATATAAACATACTGTGAAGATATTTTCCTTAAGGATTTTGAGGAAACACATAATACTAAGGGCTTTGATGGTCTGCACCAACTGTAAATTAGGAATGTTGGGAGAACATAATATGCCTCGCGTTATCATGTAGTTCTCGTGATAAGACAGCATACTTTAGATTCCAGCAGTGTCTGAGGAAATTAAACCAGCATCCTGTCAAAACAACGTAAATAATTCCAGTAACATTGAGAATTAAATTGAGCCAGAAAAGTATATGCAAATTTCGAGTGTGCTTCCATGGGCGTTGTCCAGTCCAGGTCATGGAAAGCACCTTCGTATTCCTCAAGGAAATGGAAGAAGGGAAGGCATGGTGAGGAACGTTCCACCAGGTGCCGTCACTCCTCTGTTCACTTCAGCGCTGTGGTAGAAATCACACCTTGTGAAATTATCACTTCTGTAAAATGCAAAATGGAATAAAAACACTTAGAAGCCCTGGGCCTGGCACTAGAATGGCTCCATGCTGCCTCTTTGCACTCCACTTTGCCCGCTTCCCATTTCCCGGGGAATTTCCACATATACCTTGGCTTGGTGTCTAAACAGCTCCTTGGCCACAATTAGCTTCTCAACCTTGCAGGTGTCCCTTGCCTTACATCACTCAAAGAAACCCCTGCAAAGGGGTTAGTGTGCAAGGATGCCCTCTTCCACTTTACTTATGATCTTCACGGGATCAGGAACGTGAGCAAAACTCTGCTTTAGCCCTTGGAAATTTTATAATGAAGTTTGGTTTTCGATTATTGTTGTATTATTTGTTGATTTTAATATCACTTTTTTGTAACCCACTCAAGGAGACTTTCTGACTAATGAGGTGAGATAAAAACCCAATCAATAAACAAATAAATCAATAAACCAGGGGGTGACATCTTAGGAAACCTAACAAATATGATTGCCACAAAACCTTCTGTGGCAATACATTTATTAGCCTGGAAGGCAGAAGTCCTCTGACCCTAGACATCATCTGAAGGTCCATCAGATTGCTCAGAGCTGCCTGACTCATAGACAGCACTTCAGCCTCAGAGGGAGGAACTGGAAACCTATTCCCATGAGTACCACCACCACCCTGTTGCTGCCAGAGTGCAAAGAATGGAGAAAGGCAGCCTGAAGGACCATGGGAAGGGCAGTTTTTTAGGGGATGGGGAAGGATGGATACTGGCAAGGCCAGAGTATGAACTATCCTGAAGTCTCCTCAATATCTTTCCCCGCACCCCACAGTGCCATGGTTCCATCTAGTGAAACGTGCAGGGTGGGAAGACAGGGAGGCAAAGATCACCTTGGCTGCTCCTCCTGCTCTGTGCTGATGCCTGAAAGTTTTTGAGCTGGGTGCTTCTGGCCATCAAGAACCTAACTGAAAGGAGTGGGAGTCACAGGAACACTCTTTCTGTCTCCACATGCACAGGACTGCACCCTAAGCTCCCACAATACTTCTTGTTCTTCTTGCTGCAACAGACCAACAAGGGGGCCTTCTAGAACAGGAAGCGTTTAATGAGGTAGGTGTTTTTCTGCACCTGGAAGAGGTCACATTGTCCTATACATTAGAAAAGAGGTCATACCAATTGGACGGATCAGCCCCTCCATGTGAAAAAGCACAGTGGCTGCAGTGAGTTGTACAAGAGAGAGCTGCACTGAAATATCCCCAGGAAGCCTCTCCTCCAAGCCATTGGTGCATGCCATGTCCTCCCCAGGTGATCTCAGGTGGGTCCTGGTCCTAGCAATAGCCATATCTATGAGAATCACACTGTGATTCTCAAAGGGCCCTGCACAATTTGTATCTGAGTGAATGAATCGACCCCATGTATAAGTACTGAATGTGAGCCAGTACAGAAACCTCCTTTGGCAGTGATAGTGCAACCGATCGGTCAGGTTGAGCTATCAACGTATCTTGTACTCTGAAAGCAGAGATCTGGGTTCCTGAATGCCTCCTTCATTTGCAGTGGCCAGAGAGCTTCCACCATCCAAAATTCTTACCTAAGTGCATAAACTGCTTTTCCATGTGATGACATTTGTTAAGCTCATTCTGTAATGGTTTACTGTTAAATTCAAAAACACTGAATTCATCAAATGTTTATAGTAATGGCATCTTAGACCACATAGAAACAACTTTTAAGGGGACTTAAATTTAATCATGTGGGGGTATAGCTGTTGCCCATCTCCATACCTAGGAAAAGACTTGTCAGTGGATCCTCCCATATTTTTCCAAGAAACCTACACATTCCGACTTCGCAATTTTCTGGGTGGCCTTAAAGTAAGTTAATCACATCGGAGCATGAACACGTTGCACGGAGAAACGTGCAAAGGTTTGATGTCATTTTAGAAAGTGAGGCCAAGTTGGACAACATGAGGATCGAACTACAGGGCTCTAGTTCAGTATAAAGTACCCAAGGAATCTATCACTGTGTACCAATGATGCCTGAATAAACGCGTGTGTGCATGCACACCTGCACATCCGCTTGACTTTCATGACCATTTTGCAGTCCGCTTGGCACAGATTACTGTCACCCATACTGTCATACTACTGCCACCTTGGAAACTAAGCATGCAAGCAACTTGTTACTGATGCGTGAGTCAGCTACTGCTCCAGTATTGTAGCCAGGCACTATTGAAGCCATTGCCTTTATGGGACACTGTAATTCTCCAGAATTTAGGCCAGCTCTTGGTTCAAGAGACTCACAATCCCGTTTTCATTCCCAGCCTTTTTCTGGCTGAGCTCTTATCTGTCCCTGCAAAAAGTGTCAGCTGTTGAGCTTCCTCTTATTCAAGCTTTCACACATAGGACAGAAACTGGCAACTCTGGCTTGTCTGAGGCTGGGAAAACAAAGAGAAACAGGTCTGCCTGGGGTTCCCTCTTCTCCCATAAACCGATGAAGATGGACTCTATCAGACATTACATTGAAACACTTTTGGACCAATTGTCAGCAGAATCCATTTTATCAGCAAGCCTTGCTGACAAAATGCAGTTTTGCTCAGTATTACGGAGGCTTGCAGACTTTAACCCTACACAACCCCTAATCCATTTGCTTGGATGCAGCTCCTACTGACTTATTTGGAAGAAGTGATTATCAGGGGCTAGTCCTGTTGTGATCAATAGGATAAGTCAAGAGGCAGCTTTGCATTGCCTTTTACCCTCGATGGGAGACTGACATGCAGAAAAATCAGTTAAAATAAAAGTTAAATCTTAAAAAGTTCTTTAAGATGTAACAGCAGATCCACTCACGTTTTTTTCTGGTCAGTTGTCAATCGTCCTGACACAGAGCTTAACGGGCTTTGCTCTTAAAATAGGAAGTTTATGGATCAATATAGAGAATGCTCCATCCCCCCTCACCCCACCATGGGTCTCAACTCCTAGTTTACTGTGTAGAATTGTTGCTGTGAAAGAGGCCAATGCAGTAGTTAAAAATATTTATTACTAGTACATTTACCTTAACAGACATAAGGCATTTCCCCAATTTCATACAGAAATGTTCATACAGACATGCATAGACCAATATGGCCTGCTTCAATGTATATTCAACATGGTAAATATAATGACACCTTTCCTGAATATAAATACAGATAGAGATAAAAAAATAAGCACACCATACAAAATACAACCCAATCATATGGATAAATCCACTGCTAGAAATGTTCATTCAGCATTAACCATCCATCTTAGTTTTAAATCATGTGATGCCTTCCAGATTTTCATTCAGGCCCAGGCAAAACAACCTCTTATCAGGACATCAGTTGTCCAAGTCAGCACAGTAACACTCAGCGCTATTAGATCCTCTGCTGCATTAAGTGTGAGTGCCGCTTCTCTCAATACGATCAACTCCGTTCATTGAAATGAACCCCTTCATACTTCCATTCTCCGAAGCACACACTTACTTGAAAGAATAACCCACTGAGAAACAATGAGAGCCACTTCCCACAAAGTATGCACCGTGCTTAGGATGGGGACTATTGGTTTCGTTCCATCATCAGCATCGAGAGAATGCTGATCTGCAGCCCTGAAGATTCAGGACAAACTACCTGGTGAACAAGATGTGTTGATGACGAATGCTTAAAAATAAGAGGTCGCAGCTGATGCTTGAAGTCACACGGACATTATAGCAATACTTTAGCAAGAGTGCAACACACAGCATGTGAGGTAGACCTGTTATGCTCAGACACTTTGCATTTCATGAGTCAAGATCACAGGCATCTTCTCTTTCGGATCCTGACCTTGTCATTTCTGATCTTCTCGATCAGAATGCAGTTTACGTTATATATTTGAAGCCTGCCAAACCAAATGAGCTTGCTGGTCCAGTTTTACCCTCTCTTCCGATCTGGGCCCCAGCTTTGTCACATCTTCCTCTGACAGCCCACCAAAAAAAAAAAAGTCAGCTGAAGGACTGTTCTGTGACCCAGCCCAGCTCACTGAATTCCAAAAGGGTGGCAGCATTGAAGCGCTTTGTCATCTGTCCGAATGGAAGATTTATTTGGGCCCTCCTTTACCTTTAGAGAGTTAATATTTAGAACAACACTCCTTGATCTTTTCCTGGAGTGGAATGTTAAGAAGTCAAAACAGAGCCCCAGCAATGCTTTGACATTAATTCTTGATGACTTGAGGATTAGGTTTGGTGATCTTTCCACTAAGATGTCATCTTCAGGCTTTCCCAAATGTTTTGCTTTTTATATGTTCGGTTATGCTTCAGCTGTTTTGGTTTATGCAGCCTCCTCTTCAGTTTGGCAATACTAAAAGCAGCTTTGATACTGTTACCAATGGAATCTAACCTGCAGAAACAAGCAATCATCAAATAAGTTCAGATATTGTGTGCTTGCACTGTGTGTGTATTGCAGAGAAAAGCACATAGACATCATGTATTGTAGTCCTCTTAGTCACATGCTTGTTTAATTAATGTGAGTTTTTAATTAATGCAAAAAAGTCAGCCTTCCCCAACCTGATGCTTTACTGTTATTTATTCCATTGCATGTATACCCCACCTTTTTTCCCCTTGAGAGGCACCCAAGGCAACTTACAGCCCTTTCCCCCTCCATTTTATCTTCACGACAAAATGAGGTGGATTAGGGTAAGAATGAGTGACTGGCCCAAAAACACCCAGTCAGCTTCATGGCTGAGTAGGGAGTAGAACCGAGAACTCCTAGGTTCCCATTCCAACATTCTCACCACCACATCACATTGCTTTAAACTCAGCCTGGGCAGGTTGAAAAGATTGGGAGAGGCAATCTTTGCCTCTCAGACCTTACACTCTGCATTTTGCTGGACAGGCTTTGTAGGTGAACCTCTCTGATCCAAATTGGTCCAGCCTGATCATAGGAGGATAGAATAGTAGAGTTGGAAGGAGCCGTGAAGGCCATCGGGTCCAACCCCCTGCTGTTGCAGGGCACCTATTAAGTCTGCTGCCTTTTCCTGCCATGCAGATCGGAGACGTGAAATTGCTAAATTCCTGAGAGTCAGGCTGCTGTTAAAGGCAAGTAAGAGGGGGAGCCCAGAAAGATGATGCAATCCCGTCATCAACTTACTAAGCCAATTCACATCTAGCACATTAAACAGTGCACTACAGTTGTAATAATCCCTGTGGAACCAAACACTAGGAAGCCATTTGCTGAAGCATATTTACATACGTTTCCTAAAACAGGCGTCACCTACTGTAAAATAAATGATACCTCTCACATGAAGCTCATCCAGTAAACTATCAAGTGCTACAAGGGAAGTTGATTTAAAGCACTGTCATTCTTGTCTATAAGAAAATGCAGGTCACGCACCATGTGCATGAGCAAGATATCCAACTGAATGACCTGTGCCCAATGTTATGGTAATCCCCAGTGCTTCATAAAATAGGAAATGAATGAGGTTAGGCAAAGCTGCTTGAGCCACAGGCCAGAAATGCGCTGTGTAGAACATGGCTGGGAAATGTTTGTGATGGGGAGATTCCATCCAGCTAATAAAACCAAAATACTAAATTCCGACCAGCTTGGAGCACACCTTACACTCTGTTCCATGGGACTTTTTCTGAGCAGGCCTTACCCCCAGGGTGCAAAGGAGTAACTCACCTTCTCATTTCCTTGATGTTAACCAACTGCTTGTATACACATTTCAGCCCAAGCCCGTTGCAATCTTTTTCTTTATGAAGAGGTCTCCAACCCTTTTCTTTGGTGGACTGAGCCCTATTTAAAGTAAAATGAAGTATAACTATGAGAACATTTGGAATCCGTATCTGTGTTATTTGTCTCCCACCTCTCCTCCATACATACCCGCCACCACAATTGCACCTTTACACAACAACCCTACAAATAGATTGGAGAGTGATCCAAGAAGATGCAGAGAGTTTGGCTGAGGTTTTATAAATCAAATAAGATGCATAGTCCAATATAAGGCCAACACTCTGTCCATTACACCACGGGTAGGCAAAAGGTGCATTTCCAAATGTTTTGGACTACATCTCCCAGCATCCTTGGCCATTGGTCATGCTCACTGGGGCTGATGAGAACTGGAGTCCAAGACACCAGGTGGGCATCAGATCACAGACGCTTCTTCCCTGTCTTGAGGCTACCTGTTCAAGCCATGTGCCTCATATACCTTCAGTAATACCTGAAGACACGAGAAGAGTCCTGAACCTCCCAGCATGCCCCAGCCAAACAAACATGCTCCATGTAAGTATACTAGAATCTAGCACCCCATTCAGCATAGGACATACCAGTGCTCTTTCCCACTCAGGCAGAAGTCCAGACACTTCTTGTTTTTTTGATTAGCACACCGGCATCTGCTGAGAGAACCTGGCAGATTTCCAAGAGGTGAGTCTTCCAGCGATCGCCTGGTTCGAGAAGGGCCTCCAAGTCCATATGGCACAGTTCGCCTATCATGGGGAAAAAGGGGGCAGGAACCTTAATTTCACTGCATAGATATGTGAGATGTCTTAATATGGTGCGTACTACTTGGCATATACTGCTGGCAGATGGTGGTTTTCAAAATTCATTTCAGCACTCTTATCAAGGTTCTTTTCAATTGCACAAGATTTTTGAAACTTTCTCAGGTTTTCTATGCTTATTTGTAAAGTATTATGATTAACCATAGTCCTCAGTATGCTGAGCAATCAAAAGTCCATACAAAAGATTTGTGGCCAGATTTTGTCTTAACAGCTACAATTCAGAAGCATATTTCAATCTGACACTGTAAACTTTAATTCATTTATGAATTAAAATCAGGCTACCACACATATCCTAAAACAAATAAGCAAATTGGATTTAATATCACTTTGTTAAGCAATCTGCTATAAAGCATCAGGCTGACTAATTTTTGAAGTTACCACCACCACCACCACCCCAATTTCCAGAAGAATTCAAAAATTGTTTAGCATAAGGGTGCAGTAGTCATTACTGTTTACAACCAGTATTGTGTTCGCTTAGAAGTAAACCTTGTTAAATTAGGGAAACTTGTTTGGAAACCAGTTGCCATGCTCAGCAATATATTTAAATATATTTGGGAAAGGGTTTCAGAACTTTTGCTTTAATTCAGAACTTTTGCTTTTCTCCCAGGCCACAACCTTACTTAAGGTAGCTTAAAATCCCATTGCTTTGGACAGCGATAGCTGCAGTCCTACAGACATTTGCAGGTTAGCCCTATTAAATTCCATGAGCTGTATCTACAGTCAGTGCAATTTGCTTTCATTTCAATTCATCTGCTCTAAGCAGGCTTAATAGTGATTATCAGTAGAACCCAATAGGTCTGTGCTCTCAGTGATGATACTTTAAGATAATGATGCCCTGGTTTGCATGTCTCGTGGGAAACTTTAAACATCTTCTAAGAAAAGGAACCTGCCAGAACGTTGGGGTGGGTTATCCTAAGGTTATGCTAAATCTAGGGTGCAATAAGCCCTCTCATTTCTCCTCTCATTTAGGCCTGGCTGGTGCTGGTTACAGGCTGGACAGATAAGTGAGTGAAGTTGCCTTAAGGAAGAAAGAATAAGAGGCTAATTAAGCCACAACCGCAGCTGCAGGACGATAAAAACTACATTAAAGGCTTAGTTCCAAGGAGGAGGCAGGACTCACTCGGGGGTGTTAATCCAGATGATGTCCAGGTGGCAGAAATAGACGCACTCCTTGTCCATCAGGGAAGAGCAGGAGCAGCGCTTGGCCCGGCGCGGCGGCGAGGGGGCGCTGGAGGGCTGCTTGGCGGCGCGGAGTTCAGCATCTGCAGGGGGCGAGACAAGGCAAGGCACCGGGTGAGGCCGGCGCTCCTATCGGCCTCGGCGGGGCGGGAAGGCGCGTTATTCGGACGACGCAGCGCAGCGCTGCTTCTCCCGGCGGCGCCGGGAGACGTCGGCAGCGCAGCGCCCGCGCTTGCTGGCGGGTCACTCAAGCAGTTACTGAGCGGGCCGCCGGCTTGGGCAGCGCTGGGGTGGGGGTGCTCCTGATGCCTCGGGCGTCCAGTCCCATCTTCCCCAGCCAGCATAGCCGATTGGTTGGAATGCTAGGCGCAGTAGTCCAGAGCGTCAGGAGGCACCAGGCTGGCTGGTAAAGGGCGCGTTTTGCGCCAAATTTTCATGCAACCAAGAGAAGTAAAACGCGTGGGGAGAAATCCAGACTGGCTGCCCGGACTTTGGGTGGACGCGCCACCCTTGGTTATTATGGCGCTGTTCAAACAGCTGCGGATGCATTGGAGAGAATCGAGTCCGGCGCAGGAGCCCCGAGGGTCCTCCGGGACTTACTCCCGGTGCCGAGAGGGATGGGGTGATGGCCCCTCTGCTCAACAGCAATCCAACTTGGGGTAATTCCCGAAAGTGGCTAAGATGGCAGGTGGAGTCCTTATCTAGACCGCGCCATTTCACCAAGCCAATTCGGGTCTGTTAACAGGTGAGCCAAGAATCCCTCCGATTATCCGAAAAAGGCGCCCTGTAGCATCTTTCCAATGGAGTGCGCTTTAGCAGACCAGCCTCGGCGTAGGTTGGACACCCCCGAGCCTTGCACGATAGCTGCCACTGTTGGTCCTACGAAGAGTAGACCCATTGAAATGACAAATCCAAAACGCATTTAGGCCCCATTCATTTCAGTGGATCTACTCCACGTCGGACTAACGTTGGATACTGGCCGCTTGGGATTTCGACTCAAGGGGCAGGTTAGACGTAGGCTGCAATCCTGCACCCACTTAACTGCAGGGGCTTACTTCTGAGTAGATATGCATAGGTTTGCAGTGACATCCTATACCCACTTAAGCCCTGTTCAGATCAGTGGGTACAGGCACGCTAAGCGCTGCAGGATTCCGGCCGATTCGCAAGATTCTGATGGCATTTGGTGTGAAACCCATCCTGGTGACCATACAGAACTGTCCCTCCTAGATCTTTGCCCGATGGACTATGACAGGAGGGTGATTTTTTCTTGTTTTAAGGGAAAAAAGAACTAATTATCAAGACTGACGATCCACAAAACCGCTAAGCCGAGACATGGAGTTAATGCCAACATCATCTAAGCTCTAAGGAGGCGCTGGCACTGGATGGGACGATCTGGTTTAAAAGCCAAAGCAAAAAGCCAACAACTCTGGCTCACCTGCTTTGTGGATCGCAGCTGTGGGGCTCCTCTTAGCACACAAGGCTAAGCCAGCGCCCCAGGGGAGAAGCCCAAGAGCGGTTTCTCGAAGAGGACCCAACAGCAGGCTACCAGGAAAGACCACAAAATTGCAAAGGTGCGACGGGTGAGCGTCGATGGTAGCTTACCTGCCTGCTGAAGTCCTTGGCTGATCATAAAGAGCAAGGGAAGGATCAGTCGCGTGTAATCCATCCCGAGGATTCCCCTGGCAAAACCCAAGACAACGTGCGATATCCCTTTGGAGGCGCCTTTGCTTCCCCTTGCAGGTTGCAAGCAGCCGCGGACCGCGCGCCCGTCGCCAGAGATCCAAGGACGCGAGAACTCGGCAGCCCGCTAGGCAGCAGTGAGGCACGCTGAGGGCAGAGGGGCGGGCCGGCGTTCTTGCTCCAGCGAGGCTCCCCGAGCGCTTCTGACTGGGTTGCTTCTCCGCGACTCCTTTTATACGCGCTCCTAGAGAGCGGCGTAAACAGCCCCGACTTTATTTTATCCGGAGACAATGTTATTGTGTTATATTAGTCACCGAGAGGCAACGTGCAGAGTGAGATAAGGGCACGCTGGAAAGGAAATCGCTGCGAGCTTCAGAGAGGCAGACGCCGTCTGGCAAGGCAGAGGCAGAGTTGCACAGGAAAATAAATACCCGGCGCAGACCTTTAGGGAAGAAAGAATCCCGAGGGCGCAGGGCGCCTCCGGCGCGCGGCCAACAGGGGGCGCACGGGTGACCCAGGCGCGAACCGCGGCTGACGGCTTGTTTTGCGGGGCAGCGGGCGGCTTTATCTGCGCAGCGAATTCCTTTCGGGGCACAATTAGACATCTGGGTTAGGAGGACAATGGGAACCTTCCCCAGGCAGTGCAAGATGCAGCCTCCTTTTTTTCGGTCTGTGTGGAAAGCATGAATGTGCTTCGCCCATCCCAAAGTGGGGAGAAGCTTTTACAGCAGGGGTTGATTGGCCACACAACCTGCTCCCCATCCGGGATGGGCTCTCCTTCGCAGGGGATATTTGAGCACGCGCTGGAGGCCTGCCCGAGAGGCCCCGGTGTTGCAAGATCCCTGCTGGGAGCAAGGGGTTGGCCGAGAGTGGATCCCCCAGTAATGGTTCTTAGCTTTCCAAACATCGGAAAGGTCCCAGGTCTGAGAAGGAAGGATAGTTAGAGGACCTCCAAGGCGCCTTCCAGCTCAAAGGTCTTTGCTTAGATTCAGATTGGTCCTCCATGGACAGGACTCCTTCCATTGCTGGGATATAGTGAGCCGCTCCTTGCAGGAGGAAGGTGGTGGGGCGGCTGTGGGGTCTGTGGGGAGGAAATGCAAGGGTCGCCTCCCCTTCAGCACAAGCAACACTCCATGAAGCAGTTCTAGGGTCCAACCTAAGCAGAGTGATTTCACTGAGTGAGTTAAGCACGTGCTTAAGGCTCTCCTGTTGACATTAAATGCCCTTAAAAGTGCTTTAGACCTGTCCTGTGTATTTAGGCTGCGGTCCTGTATGTGTGTTTAAGAAGAATAAAGGCCACCAACTCCCTGCGTGCTTCCAGAAAGCATGTCTACCCTGTCTAACCCTGCATAGGATGTCATTTCACAATATTTATGAATTGCTTTTATTATTTCTTACTGTAAGCAACATATGGAAGACATGATTATCTCTCTGGCAACATCTGTTGCAAAAGCTACGTTTTTCAGTAGGAGCCCAGAACCCAGCAGATCTTTTGATGCTTACCTGACAGACGTTCAGGAAATGGGGCACTATTGGCGATGGTGGATCAAACTTGCAAAGCCACTGGTACCACTGGGAAAGCATCTTTCAGTGGATGCAGCAACCAAGCAGGCCAATAAATAAGCAATCTGGCAATTCTAAGGATCATACACAGGAGAATCCTGTTACAGATACGAACAGGTTCCAGAGTGGTAAGCAATGAAATGAACAAGACATATAAAAAATGGGCCTGTAGCTCATCAGTCAAGGAACCCTCCTGAAAAATGTTTCCAGGAGGCATTAAAAACACAGTGTTGGCATTTGCTTGCCCGCTGGGGGCATGGAGTGCCACAGAAATGGAACCAACACAGTGAAGGCTCTGCTCTGGCTGGACTCCTATTCGGCCATGTGGACCCCCCTTCCCCTCAAGGAGCACGCCATGGTCTCACATCATTACCCAGTCTCTCAGGTCAGCTGTACCACCTCCACTCAGGGCTGCTACCGCATGAAGGGAACAGTGTCCATACCCATAAACAGTTTTCTGTGCCACAAGCCTGCTCGAACTAGCCAAATCTGTCACATAATGATGATTATTTGTGGCAACGTTTGGGGTTTTTGTTGGAAGGTGGCTTGGTTTCCTTCTTTCAAGAAATGCATCTGTAGCCCAAGTGACTCATAAATTTATTTCTTCCTGCTTATCAAAACTGCCTGCTGGAATAGATTGAGCTTGCTCAGGGCAAGATTATGCACATGCAAACATTTCTTTCCAGCACAACAAATATCCAAATATTGCAGCAATGCGGCATCCTAAAAGGCCTTTACATTTCACTAGTGAACAGCTCTGACTATGTCTGGATTGGAATAACCAGTACTTTCATACAGCAGAGCCCTTAAGCAAACTTATTCAGTTGTCCAAGACGCACAATTGTGCCTTTCCAGTGGAGCCATACCAGCTGCCCCCACCCGCACAAAGCCCCTCCCATGACAAATTCCCATGTCGCCCTGAGGTGTGTCCGCTTGAGGTTTTTGAAGCAGAAACATCTCAAGGGGAGAAACATATCCCAGTTCCTTGGCCTGCTGACCTCTTCTGACCCAAAACCAGTGATGGGCAACCTTACAGCACCGTGTAATTTATGAGACGACCGTTTTCATATCATTGCTGTTTTCCAGCCATCTTTCTCTATCGCCCATCACCACAGCTGAAGGCTAGTTTTGGGGAGCATGCAGAGTGCACACACCTTCTTGCCTCCCATTTTGCTCTGCCTCATAGTTGGGTTGGCACTGTCTGGTTATGGTTAAGATCTTATGATCTTAGCAGCTTGATGTGTGTTGGTTGGTGATAGCATTTATTTCTGGGTTGTGAAAGGTTTTGCCTGCTTGTGCTTGCACAGTCCTTGCTCTTAAAGGCTCACCTGCAGGAGCAGCTGAATGCCCCAGTCAGATCAGCTGTTGCATATTTTGGGGGAATTATCTGCCAACACCTGCCCGGAGGTCATTTCCAAGGGATGCCACATTTTTGCAAGGACCTAAATACTAGGATCCAAATTCTGGACTTCCACCAGCCTCAGTCCTAAACATGTTGAATGTTTCCGAGGTGTAGTAATTGGCAGCAAGAGATTGAAGCTCATATTTTGGGCCACCTCCCCCCCCCCCCCCCGCCATATCATTCACTGGGATGCGCTCCAACAAACATCTCTGAAATGAAATTCAACCTTCAGCCTGCAACATCTCTGCTTTTAGAGCAAAGCCAGTTCCCCAGTGCTACTATACTCTGGGCTGTGTGTGTGTGTTTGATTTCATCCTAAGTAGCCCAGGACACTGTGCACGACCTCCTCCTGTTTGTATCCTCAGGGAGCCCCCTGTTCTGGGGCAGGTTAGGCAAAAGGCAGCAGCCCGGCTGCACCGTCGTCCAGGGAGCTTCATGGCTGCGCTGGGGACGAGATGGCCAAATACAACAAAGACGCGGGCGGGAACGCCGGCAACTTCCGCAGCTGTGCAGAAGGGGGGTGCTCTCAGGGGTTGCTTCTGTGATAAGCAGCAAACCCGCCCCGATGAAATGTCTCCTGTGGCACAATCCCCCAGGAGCTCTGGCTGGCCACCCGACCCCCTTGAAAATGGGCCTTCCTCTGGTACTGTGAACTCCTCTCTGACCGTTGTTGCTTTCCCCAGAGGAAGAAAGCAGGTCCATGGGAACATCTTTCTCCCACCACCCGGCCCCTTTATTTTGAAGCTTTATTTTGTTCAGTACACGTGAATGGCCACCGTTTGGTGGGGCCAGTGGCTTTTTCTACTTGGGAATGCCGTCATGAGGGAAAGCATGCTGCCGCTAGTAGTGAAATGTGCTCCTCGGTTACAGGCATATTCACACACAGCGCGTATTCACAGGGACCACTGCTAAAACTGCCGGGCATTTTGTTAGCTTTCTGGACCGTGGCATGTGATCCAGCTCTGTGCAGACTTCTTTTCCAGGAGGTTTTTGAGGTTCTGTGCTTTGGGTACTTTTGAATCATTGCCCCTCTTGCCTCTCTTGGTGATCTGGTCTCAAATGGCTTGAAATAATACATATGAATTTTTAATCTCTCAGTCTTTCTCTCTCTCCGCTCAGTGGCCATTACAGCAACATAATTAGGAGCCACATTGTTCTGAGCGAGTATCGAGAGTCCACCTCTGCTGAAGCTCCTTGCACACCCATTGTCCTTGCACACCACCTCCATGTGGATTAGCAGAGCTTTGAAGTAGGCTCCTCTGCTCCCATTCTCCCTTTGTTACAGGCAGCAAAATGGGTATTCTTAAAACATCAAACGTTTGCAGGGTTTGACAGCTAATTACAGCAGTTTGCTTTTAAGGGCATGAGTTTTTTTTTTTTTTTTTTAAGAGTAAGCACTACACCAGCTTGCATTTGAGGGTGGGGGGTTGTTTCAGCCTAGCTTTCAAAAGCTGGGCATCCTTTCAAGAGTTATTTAATCTGACAGCCTGTGGCACTTTGGAATGACAACATCTCTGAAGGCTTTTGGGACCTGGGAGTTCCTGTAGAAAAGGGGCACGGCCCAGTTCACTAGACGTGGACACTGAGCCACATAAAGCGCGTAGAAGTTAGGTTGTCATTTTTCCACACACATCCTATGCAATGTTCATGACTACAGTTTTGAAAGGATGCTGAAATACCTTACTCCACTCACATGGATGGTCCATGTCAAAGTAAGGAATTAAAGGATGACCATCTCCACCTGGCTGATTATGCTCACTGCCTTCTCTTGCTCCACGGGGCTCAGGAGGGTGTGCATGGTCAACCGTTCTATCCTCACAACAACAACCATGTGAGGTAGGTTAAGCTGAGGAATGGCCACTGGCCCAAATGGCTTCACACCACCAGGGGAGGCTTCACAACCAGGCTGAGACCTGCACTTGATCTTCCCAGACCTCATTCAGCCACAGAAGCACACTTGCCTATGCTATACACTTATTTCATATAATTGTAGTATTTATGTACCACTAAGTACAATAAAATCCCTAACAGATCCACATATGAATGTTACAGGCACATTTAAAATATTAATACCATTTTTAAAAGCCATTCCAATTAGAATAATTATTTTACCACAAAGGGTATAGTATAACCCGTTTCCCCAAATATACCGGTGAGCTGAGTTGGTACATTGTGGTAACTCAGTCCTGACTTGCAAAAGAGCTTGCATGACCCCAGCCGAATGCCGTCTCCTATC